TTCGCAACCTCAATGTGTATGTGTGAAGGTGCGTGAGTACGTGCATCCCCGTGCGACGGCATCAATTATGCGGAAGTGCACAGGAGGAACGAGAGAGAAAGAGAGAAGTCTTCACCAAATAAACAAATAGCAAGAATGACGGAGCAGAAAAACAGCGACGATGGCAAACCCTATTTTCGGCCATGAGTAGGCTTAGGGAACATCTACGAGTGTCGAAAATCGGGTCACCGATAAACGGGAGTGCGAAAGAGGCGTTTTCGAAACCTTGACAGACTGGAGAGGAATATTTACACAAAGAAAGCTATCACCAAACACTGACTTTGCTTGGCGCCATACCCATGCTATCAGTCTGTCAGCGCAGCAATGCGCTGACAATGAAGCCGCCTCCAGGGTGGAGTGCCTTTGGGAGCAAATCAACCATTGCATTGGGCTACATTCAATACCATTAACTTCTCCTCCCAAAGAAATATGACAGGTCAAATAGTTCGGATAATTGTTATGGGATCTGTTATTTGTGGGCAATTTGGCAAAAACCCACAATAAAGGATTGGGAAATTTATCTAATCTGCTGCCCAAATACCCGCTCTGTGCAGACTAGTCACGAAACGAAGCGTGGGTTCAGCAAGTTGGAAATCTGAGTGACTGCAGTTACAATGCATTAGGCTTTCCTAACGCAAAAAAATATAGCTACGAATTCTACTTTATCCAATGCTTTGACTCAAGAAGTCGGAAGAAAATCGCAGTCCCAACTGCCTTGACTCCTGTCTCAACTGTCTGTTCCATTTTGAGTGTGATGATTTAGTAATGCCAGGAAAAGGGTGACAACCACCTGGAGAAAGTTCGAGAAATGGGAATAAGGAGAACAAAATGAAGCAGTACCTCCTTCCTTACCCTGAGGCGAGCTATGAAGCATGAGGTCTTACATCGTGTTGTCTTGCAAGGATAGGAAAAGAACCCACTTGTCACAGGCTCGCCTATCAAATAGGATCGTTTCAGCTATCCAAAAGCAGCCTTGTCATAACTGTAGGTGAATCTATAGATCAGCGAAAGATTTTTCTGGAAATGACCACAAAGTATCAGTGGAAGCGCTGAAATGTTAATTCCACTAAAGAAGTGATCTACAAAATTATAGTCTTCAATATCACTCCTCGTATTTTCGCTTTCTGTGGCAGCAAACGGAAGTCATTTCCTTAAAAGGTTTCAGCATTATCCAATTTCCTCAACTAAGGTAAGACCAGAGTGTTGAGTTGTCACTCACGTAAGCTTAACTTTTAAACCTCCAGCTACGACCAATAGCAAAGGGGCTCATAGCGACGCCCATTCTACCACGTTCATCAAAATCATCGGCTCTTCAATTCCAATGAAGTACGCAACATCTCCAAATCGAAATGGGGAACCTACCCTTCCAGCTTTGCAGTCGAGCCAAAGAGAACTTGAATCACACACACCGGACACAAATTAAGGGAAAGGTGATGGAGGATACAATCAGGCGAACTATACTAATAATGGACCTACAAATCTCTCTGACCTATAGTACACACATGTAAACGGTTGTAGTAAGCGGCAAATTTCTAGGCACCATGCCACATTTTGAAATAAACTACCTATTGAAAATAATAACTGTCGATTAGAATCAATTAAATGGAACCACCTTAAAAAGCACCAGACAAAATGTGGATCACAAAGCGATGCTGGATATCATTCTCCTACCGTCTTTGAATTGTTCAAAGCATCCGAGAAATGGAAACCCATGTGTGATGGAGTAAAATCTACCTCATTAAGATCTACAAGGTGCTAAAGGTTGGTTCATTTTAAAACGGGTTGGCGGCTCAGCCCCAGTCTACCATTGACGGTGACCTGGATGAGGCTGAGAAAAGAACTATCACCCGCATGTACTCCTCCGACCACCATCTCACCTTCGAGATGGGTGGGCGCCAAGGCACTACACGAGGTAGTCAAATGTAAGTGTAGGAAGTGATTCGTAGAGTGCAGCTCCGCTACTTACATTTTGCCAAGTAAATTGGATAGTTTACGATCAAATGGAACGTCATTTGTTTTGCCCACTGAATTACACTCTCCACTAATGGTTACGCAGTGACTTAAGCCTAAATCAGTCACACTTCCTAGCTTCTCCTACCTTCAGAACTGCCAAATGAGGTTACGGTTTCCATGTCTCTTAATGCCAACCAAGAAAACAAAACAGCAGCAATACTACCTTGTAAAGTGGCTTTACTGAGTCGTCCTTTCCTTTTGTCTATTTGCGTATGAATTTGAACCCGTGATGGAAGTGGAAGGAGGAATAAAGGCTGTTCTGAAAGAAAAGGTTTCTGACAGAGACCATAAGTGGAGAATTGATGCTATATCCTGCAGGTAGAGGAGAAATGCACTTATATTCAACAGCCCAACGCCAATTCGACAAAGAACCGATTAATCTTGGTTAGCTTAATGGCTGACGATTTCCTGAGGAAACCACCATTTCTTCTCGCGAGATAGCAGCTTTGATGTACAAGCTTTGAGACTTCCACCGGCTCAGTGCTATTGCAGTAGAAGTCTCCTGCCTTCAGAAGCGGTTTAAGCTCTGTAGTACACAGTGGGATGAAATCAGCCATCAGAATAGTCCATTTTTGCTAATTCCCTTCAGAAGCTTAAAGTAATCGTACCCTCATAGAGTCGTTATTTTGGTTAGGAAGAAAATATTTGCTCATACTATCAGGTCTTACTGTATAGAGCAGAGGGCGGGTAAAGTGATGGGGTCACCCACTCCTCCTTTTCATCCTCTTTATTTCTTCCATTGGTAAGACCTTGTTACGATAATGAGATTTGTTTAGGTGCTCAAACCATTCCCATCCTCCACGCTACCTGGCGGGCAAACTTGCACAAATGCATTGAATGAGAACACTATGGAGGAGAAAAATGAGGGCCTTTTACCCTCCATATTAGACTTCCTCAGGCATCGCCTTAGAGAAGCTAAAAAGTAAAAGTCGGCTAATAAACAAATAACAAGAAGCCTAGACCTAAAATGGACAAAATAAAATGGGTATAGCTAATACACCTTCGTCACGCCTCATGCAAACATAGCGAATTCAATTCGAAATAACAACAGAGCGGCAACAGTACTTTTGAAAAACATTTTCAAGTAAGTGAGATAAATTTTCACCGTTCGGTGCAATTATGCAAGCCGATCCAAAGTACACTTAAAGAGGAAGCTGTGGCAACCAAACTACCTGTCATATCTTTCAAAGGGGATCTGTCCAACTGTTTTAAAATTGCAGAAACAATCCTCAAGGGCGTAAATGGAAAAGAAGTGATGATCAATGGCTATTCCTTGGCAATGACAAGTGCTAGACTTGCATCACTTTCCATACGGCAAGGAAGGAGGCATTCATGAAAAAACCTTCCATAATGAAGGCGGCAAGCCAATTCAACAATGTAAAACTCTTTCAACCGTAAAACCGCAGACCTGTTGCACGTCATCGTCAAGTGACCCACAGTATTAAGGAGTAGGGGCTTCGTTCAGAGGCCAACTGTGCTATGACCAAGATGTGATGCAAATAGGCAGTACTAATTAACCACTGAAGTACGCGACTTTTTCTCGTTCATCCCGAAAACATAACAGGAGTTTAAAGTTAAATAAACGTCCATGAGTAATTAGAGGACAAAATAGCTTTAGGAGGGAAAAAATTATAAGCGGTTTTTTGCAAACTCCTCAAGTCAGACTGCATGAAGAAGAGAAGTTGAGAGAAAGGGAACGTTACTACGTCTTGCTTTCACATAGGTTGGCTACATCACTTTTATTGACCAGTCCACTGGCTAGGAGGCAAGTCTAGACCCTGCGACACATTCCATCAGCCCAGCTTTAAGGGGAGACACAATGATGACAAATATGACACTAATGGGCCATTAGAGGAATGCGGGAGAGAGGGGCAGAACAGAGCCCTGGATGCCAACACGACCGATTGGCGCAAATTACTAATTATAATACCATACATTCCATCAGATCGAATGCTTCAGGACACACCCTCTGGGAGAAAAAAGCCCACATACACATGCGCACATAGACAGATGCTTGCCTGGGAAGTTCTATCGAAAGCCTACTAGATGAGGGCCAAATAACAGCACCACACAGCAGCCTGGCAAGGGAAAACTAGGATCTCTGAACTGCAGAAAGGAATATCTCCTCAGACGTCTTGTAATAGGTCTAGCCAACACCAAAAGAGTTGGAACCTAGAGAGAAGACTTTCGCTTGACTCTGAGTGAAGCGCTGTAATCAAGCTGCAAACCTCGACGAGAAGCACGGTAGTCAGAAGAGATTATGTGAGTCCAAATTACTCTCGAGATCGCATACGCTTTCAGAAGCCAACCATGTATCAATCGTCGCGCCATCAGGAGACGGAAATCCATATCGATAAATAGAACGATTAAGAATAACCTCTCACATCGTAGCAAATACAATTAGAAATAAAATGAGCGTACCTGAGGGCCTCAAGAATGGCAAAAGGTTGTGTTTCATGTAAAAAAATAGCTTAAAATAACTTTATGCATCGCTTGAGAAAAAGACAAAGACCATACCAAAATGTTCAGAGAAAAGATAAAGAGGATACCACTTGGAAGCTGATCAATTGGAGCGATGGCAGTCTAATTCAATAGCAGAGCCAAAGGGGGTCAAAATAAGCCATTTCAAACCAAATGAGGCGGATTTTGACTTTAATCATAAATCATGAACAGACAGGTACGCTCTCAAACCAATAGAAGCACTATCTAGCCAAGAGTGATGTCGCCTCCAGCATAACTAAACCACCTAGAGACAATACCAAGCATGACACGAGTCTTTTGGTCGCGGTCGATAAAATCACTTCAAAAACAAAAAGGAACTTTCTAACTGTCCACACAGTCTCATGCTGGAGGGGAGCAGAATCAAGAAAATTAACTAAGAGTAGTCACTAATATCATTGTAACAACCAAGAGTGGTTAAGAGTGTCAAAAATGGAACCCCACAAATCTCAAATAATAACCACCAACAATGAACAAAGGACTGAGCTGAAAAAAGTACTAATAAGGAAGTATGTGTGGTAGCTGACCTTATTGTCCCCCCCAGACACGGCAAGAATATTGCCCGTGAGGGACCAGGACACATGCCACACCACATCAGGGTAAGTGGCCAGCACCACAGGCTTCCAGACTCCCTCTGCCGTATCTTCCCCACCGCCACCACCGCCATCACCACCAAGAAGACCCGTGGCGTTGATGTAAGAGTCAGGACGGCGTCGCAGACTCTGCCAGACGATGACACAGCCATCCTGTCCACAACTAGCAATCTGCTGACGGGCGAGAGAAAGAGAGGGGCACCAAGCGACATCGCGCACCCATTCGGTGTGACCACCTTCGAGTTGAGCCTCCTTAACCCAACCCCCAGTGCTCGGATCCTCCCTGCAGCAAAGGCAGAGAGGCACCCCATTACGAGATCCCACAGGGTAAAGAAATAAAGCATCGCATAGTGTAAATTTAAAAGCTATTACCATGGCTTTTAGTTTAAGTAGGAGTGCTCCAAGCATTTTTGGAGTGCAGGCAAAGTAGATACTACCGCTGAGGTTTTAGAGACCTAAAAATGATTTCATAAAAAAGCTTTGACCTGAAAAACATGAAGTCATAATTCGCGTACAAAAGTTTCCTTAGACCATTTTATTTTATGCTTAGCTAATGTTCTTTACCACAACAAATAGTCAGCAAAAGTAACAACAATAATAATCGAATTACTATCCATAAAAAAAAATCCGAGACGTTCCACTGCCAGAGTATCACCAAAGCCCTTAAGGAATCTCTGAGGGTCACCTAATGCCTACAAGTAGTGAACTTGCATTCTAGATGTTTGAAAATCTGACGGGTTCCAGTAATGCAGTCACAAAGTCCAGGTCGGGGAGAAGAAAAAGGCCGGCATAACCATGCATAGGGCTAGACCAAATTCAGAATTATAAGCACCGTCCTTTGGTTACCTCTCTACACCGTCATCTGGGTCATTGGGAAGGAGAAAGCACAACTTGAGAATCACTGTAGAAACTCACCGCCAAATCTTGACGAGACAGTCACAACCTCCGGAAACAATGCGTTTAAGGAGACCAGAAGCCGTTTGACTCAGCGAAGGGTTCAACATAAAGTCTGCGTTGACAGCTGGTGCCCACGAGATGGCGTTCACACCAGACTGCAATTTTGATAAAAATGAGTTAGCTTAACTATGCTACCTTAAGAATATTAGTAGGGCAACATCTTCCGAGTTGAATTCCTGTGGGAAAGACTTCCAAAACTGCAGAACTCCGATGGTGAAAATGGTGCTTTTATAGAATAGGGCTTAAGCAATGAGAAGCCAATTTCAAAACCACCTTTGAGTTGTTTCCGCACACTTTTATGGAATCGAGAACTATAAATGCCAAAGGCTCGTCTTTTAAGTTTGCCCATTAACAATGGAACTGATTTTCTTCTGAATGAGTAAATGAAAACTCTTAACAACCAGATTGCAAAGATGCTAACAGCTCTCATCGCATCAATCACATCAACCCCATTTTCGCAAAAAAAAACAACCAGTGCGCAACCAATTTAATAAAATTCATGTTTGTTATTGCGTAAGAAAAATGTGACTGACATTAACAAGTACCCCCACACAAGCACTAAAATCTCGATTAAGGGGCATTAAAATTCCATCGGGTAAGCAAAATATAGGATCTTCTAGCCGACCTTTGGTTCCTATTCAGCTATTCTAGCAGCATAGAGATGGAGAAGCAAAGACGATTTGGTACAAAGCTCTTATCGCCATTGATATGTTTTATATTGCGGAAATAGTGATCAAGGCAAAAGAAACAGTTGAGCACACTTGGATACTAAGTGTACCAGATTCGACTTCAAAAATACATTTATAACCATGATTCTCCTGAGCCATGTTGAAGTGGGTAGACTAGCTAAAACACCAAAGATGTAGCTGTAATTCCAAACATGACTTAAATGTCGCAGGAGGAACAAAGACTAAGGTCCGAGAACATAAGTATTTAACTGTAATGATGACATCAGACATATCTACCTCTAACAGCTGTTCTGAAAGTATTAAGTCATTGAACGCCCAAATGGCCCGATTCTTTTCTTGCTTAAAAATAACGGCAAAACACTTATAAGGAGGGCTATTTTTAACGATAATGGCCATAATTTGCACAAAAAGCGTAGCAGATGAAGAAAGGGAAGCATTTTTGAAAAATGATCCATAAACATCCTACTAAGCTCCCTAACATAAGAGACCTCTGGCTTTTTCCATAAGTACTATTCATTCATTGGATGCTTACTAAGTCGGAAATAATTAAGAAAGCTTAGAAATGGCACTCAGAAGTCTCTAAGAACACCAACTCAATGCTTGAAAAAGAGAAACAAAAAGAAACCACTTTAGAGAGTAACGAATAAGGCCCCGGTTTCATAAATGTAGTCTCAGCAAAAGTAGGGATTTTATACTTGGAGAAGAAGTCTACATGAGGTGAAACAAATTCACTACATCGTCTTCTGCTTCAGTTTCAACATATTCATCCAAAAAAGAGACCAGCACGGCTCTGTCATGGCAGCGCGTTAAAATTTGGACTTTCATGATGTATAACGCACCCACGAGTAATTATGCCAGTAGAGGGGACACAAGATTAATATAGCAGTGAAAAAAAACTTCACATAAAACACTCCCGTGATTACCGTATGAGCGTCGGGTATCTTGACGGCGTCCCAAGTGCAAGCTGAAGTGTACGTCAGGATCGAAATTATGCCATCTGAACTTCCACAGGCTAAAACAAGCCCATATTCGTGGGGAGCCCAGGCCACAGCATTGACTGAACTCTTATGGTCTTTGTACTCGTAGAACTTTACCCACTTTCCTTCATGTTCCGCCCATACAATAACGCTGCGATCGTAGCTACAAGAGGCCAGCAGATTACCATGAATTGGATGAGACCAACTCAAACCCCAGACCGGCCCTTGATGCCTGCATGAAAAAAGCATTAGTAAGAACAGTAATTGGGAAGTATAACCACGATTCACCAACCCTCTGAGCTCGACGATAAGTTTCTGCTTCTTGTCCTTCACATCAAAGAGCTTTATAACTTCGTCAGAGGAACAGGTTGCTAGAGTTGTTCCATGGTAGTTCATTTGAGCATCATGCTGAAAAAAATAAGATTAGCCGAATGTTGACTTACGATAATGTCCTCATGGCCAGTGTCGACGGTTTGATACACTGAGATCTGCAAGATACATCCGAAAGTTAATCCGATTTCCAATGAAATAGGCAATGGTGAACAAGGCATCACAGAATAGACATTAATTATTTTAGTAAACGCTATCGAATAAATAATGATCGGTAGCTTGACGCTGCAATATGGGTAAAAGTGAATACCTAAGGGAGAGTTGAACGTGCTATTCATAAATCCAAGGCATAAGACTACCAAAACAAATGCTGCATAATAATGATTTAGTCTATTTCTATCTAGTCTATTTGCATTTCAACATAAAAGATGTTTTCATCAGTTAACATTTCCGACAAAGGTTTTGCAACGAGGTAATGACTAAAGCACGCGCCATATAGAAGACATTGCCGTTAACAAATCGAGAAGTTCAACTTTGGATGTGAAACAGCAGAACAATCACAAGGCGCAAATAGACATTCGACATCCATCTTTAGTTATTGTGCTAGAGATCACCGTGCTTACGAACCAAAGCAAAAACCTTAAAAATGAAGACAGAAAAGAGAGTTGCCAAAAGGAGTTTGCTTATTCGAACCATAGCTGCTAATGAAGAGCATGGTATTCGAAGCGGCATTTGAAGTCGTTAATGGATAGAAGACTAAAGGTTGCTTTGAGTCCAAAAAAGTTGCGAAACAAGACATCGGTGTGGCAAATTAGCCGTGGTTACCATTCTCAAACGTGTACAAAAATTCAAGCACACAAATTTAAAATCATCCCCCAGGGAACAAACTCAAGTTTGATCCATTTAAGCAAATATTGATAAACTTATAATGCAAGTTTTCGTTTATCTAATTATTATTAAGCGATCCGCTAAACGCCGGAAAATCTTGTTTTGGGAAAGTATAATTGTCAAAGCACCTCAGCAAGTTTAAAAAAAATTAATGTGCTCTGTTATTTAATAACGTCTTCTGAGAACGGCTACAGTCGGTCTTTCGCAGCATCCATAATTAAGTGCCAATTCTATCAACTGTGTAATTTGCCCACCAATCTTTGTCCTAACGCACCACATTTTGTGAAAGCAACATATTTCTGATACGCTTGATTTAGTTGCCTGACTCTGCTAAGGCCTCCACATTGCGTCAAGAATATGCGGACAATTGACATTGTAATGTATTGCCTATGTGGCCGCCTGGCGTTTGGCGGCCACTGAGATTTATCTGTCTCCTGTACGTGTGGGAAAACTTTCAGACCATGCTGAGGCCTAAATACTTTGTTCTCGTTGGAATACATATACTCACCTCCACTTACTGATGATTCCACCCAGTGGGGAGCATCTAGGATACTAAAAGCATTACAGCCCACCCAGTACCCAGTCACGAATGTGTACTTAATGAATACAGGCCTGATTTGACACTTTGCATCAACACGCAGAACTTACAGTCAATGGGTTTGAAAATAAGTGCACTACGAAAATGATGACCCAGCATGTAGTGATTCATTCCTGTGACCATCTGCAAAACCGGCACTTTAATGCTTAACTTACCCTTGAGCGCTCGAGATGGCCTTTTGTCGATATCAAAGCCTAGTCGCCTCCCTTTACCCCTGGATTGCATGTACTCGACCCTACTTAATACCTTCAAACTAGTAGGAGGTCTTAGGGTTCCAGATAGTTCAACGAGAAACTCAGTCACAAAGCTTATCTTACATTAAACAGCGGAGCTTACCAATGTTATCAAGATACTCAACATTAAACCAGCTTAACAGAAAGGACTCGGCTCTAATAAAAGGTGAAGTCGAGAAAAAAATCCTAAAGAACCCAATCAACTGAACCACCATTATACAAGCATCGACGCTGGCATTCCCAACGTAGAAGTACTCGGTGAATGAAAGCAGTTTGGCATAAATTTTACGCACGCACTGCAACCTCCCTTTTTGCGCATTCAAAAAGTACAGGTGGACTGAAGATAATTGATGTTCTAAATCTGAAGAGAGAAAAGGAAACAGCATCACAAAACCAAACCTCGAGATTGGCTTTCTAGAAATACTGGAATTCCACACTAAGAGAAGGAAAAATATTTGCTAACATCAGTATTGACGACAGCACATCGGGCTTCGTCTCATATCAGACTGAAGTCGTTAGGATTCTGTGCATTAACTGGCACCTTTGATGTTGTTGCTGGAGCAGATTGGAAGAGACCTGCCAGAAGATCCACATTCGATGAAGTCTGAGTGGTAGATCGTGGTACTGGCGCAGGTACAGACGCTTCAGCGACGGTACCTCGTAGATTCTGACGATTCCTGCCGCCTCCGGCAGGAGGAGGAGGTGGAGGGATAAGACCAGGGACTCCCGTAGGAATGCCCAATTTGAGACTGGGTAGGGGGCGTGTACGACTACTACCACTACCGCCAGAACCCTCACCGGCATCGCCTGAACGTCGAGTGTTGAGGTTCAGTCGGAGCCGTTGTCCTTCCTTTAGACCCAAATCTAACTTTGGCAGGTTCTGATCCGAGGCAGATTCCAATTGAAATTTTTCTGCTTCTGCCGCTTGCTTGCAATGCCTTTAATAGGGGAGAAGACGACGCAACAATATTTGCAGAAATTAAGTAGACAACTTCGACAGGGTAATGGCTGCTCATATCCCAAGTCTCGGTTGTTATTGGTGTCCTTTACACGTTATTTGCACTGGAAATCCACCGGCTTGTCTGTGTTGTGGCGTGCCTTAGTAGACTCATGGAGGTGACCCAAAACGCTACATCCCTACCAAGCTCAACCAAGTCTCACGTTAAACAAACAAATCTGCTTGCGCTTATGCATCGCAGAAGGTAGTCTTTGTTAGGGCATGGATCCATGAATGCCTACATCAGAAGAACTAGTAGAACAGTGCTCACATCACCTGAGAGCCAGAGAAAACACATACTCAGGACCTTAGCATGACCAACAAAACCTTTAGAGATAATCTGAACCATGAGTCGGTGCAGACAGTAGACAAAAATATGTTTCTTGAAGCTAAGTGAAATGAAGGTAACTGAATTTCTGGAGAATGACTACAAGAGGGCTATGGAAATAGACACCTTTCACAGAAGAGAGGTAGTGAGCTGGCGATAACCACGGGTATGTTAGTTTGCAATATGAGTGCTTTAATACAAAAATGTAAAATCCCCTTCTCACGGAAAGGAAGTGGGTGAGAATAAAACCCAAAGAAGCATCAGCAAACTGCCTGCCATATAACTATCAGTCGGAGAAGGAGAAAACCATTCGCCCAAAAGGTTGAATTACCACTCCTTTTGCCAGTCAATGTTGAAAGCCAGATTTAACACTAACTTACATCATGGTGATGAAGATGATGTACTATGATGATGATGTGCTATTGCGACTTCTCCGAACACCAAACAAAAGCTGCTTTTGTGGATTTGTAGCTAAGTTAAACTCACATCGCAAGGCTAGCTAACTTAAGTCATACCAGTCAGGTTTACTGCTATTTCACAAGCTGAGGGCTCAAAAGAAGACGGTAGGGAACACAAATAAGCAGCCACATGTATTACACAAGGCCGCAATAGACCTCATCACATCGATGCAACACCCTATTCCGCAAACCGTATGAGACCTTCAAATCGCTCCAGAATGATAGGCCTCTCAAGATTGTCTCAGTATCAGATTCAAATGAGATCGGATCGCTGGAGAAAAGGACAACAAGAGCGATGTTGTGTATATCATTTCAATGGAAGACCTAGTCTGAAGCAAGACAGGCCTGAATTGAGCAAGGAGTTGGATACGATGTGTGCTGTAGCTTGACGAGACTGCATCATCAAAAAACGCACTTGATTTGAATGGTTAAAAATGCAATCGTGGTTAGAAGCTAGACCACTGAATCGCCTCACAACAGCGCATAAGGGCTCCAGACGTTAGAAGAGATTATATGTCTACCACTTTTCCTTCGAACGACTGAGTCAATTCGGCAAACGCTAGTTCAAGTAAATTGAGCGCAAGAGTTGACGTGAGTTCAGGTGGATTAAAGAAGGTGAAGGTAACTCAACGGTAGATTCAATGTAAATCAAAGAACATGAATGAACTCTACCGCTACATTTAACCACTCAGAACTTCCACTTTGGAAGTTCTGAACAGAGACCAAAGTGGATCGTCTGACAGTTTCAGTGTGAAGAATAAGTTACCACGAAAAAACTTCACCTGTGAATTATCAACATAAGCAGTGAACGAATCAAACTAGAACAGTAATGAAATGAATTCGACAGGATATTTTCACTCACTAAAGTAGATGAGGACTTTTAATCGCCACCTTAAAAGGATGAAAAAAAAGCTAATAATAGGGGTTTAAGCAGTTCCAATGAAGCCATGGACCTAGTAATTAAAAATCGTCTAGCTAATGAATTCATGGAATAGCTCAGCATAATGCGCTGATCACCAAACCGTAACTGCAGTAGAAGACGCAAACTACGTGAAGACAAATAGAAGCGAATTCAGAGGTAAGCGCAAAAATATGCCCCAAATAAACTGCTGTACATGCACCATCTCTTCATCCATTAAATTGTTTCTTCATTTAAAGACCAAACTAACTATCCACATATCCTACATACCTCTTCACTTATTCATGCATTCACTTACTTAAAGTGATCCTGAATGGCTACATTGAGATCAAAGGCATCACTTCGCTCAGCGAACCCAATGCCTACGAATACCGTTCGCCCATCATCAGATACCAGTCGAATGACAAAGTAGCGTGAAGAGTCGAGCACCTGCTCCACAGCCACACTAGGAAAGGCTTCCACCGGACATTGCGCGTAGAGACGACCCGATACAGCGTCCTCCAGACGGATGTAGAGCACAGAGTCACTGCTACCGCTGCCAGTCACTACGCGCAGGCGCCCAGTCCAGGTGGGTGCGTCAAGCGACCATTCAGCAGCACGATAACCTCGAGTGGACTGGCGAGGGGGAAGGGTGTAGAGGAAGACTTCACGTTTAACAAGAAGCACCGATTCGTAGTCAGAATCGACCATTGGGCTAGATGACGGAATAATAAAGAGCGAGCGTTTAAGTCGCGATATGACACTGTGCAGGACGGCAACGTTGACTTTCGTCTGAGAGAGAGCAGGAAACGAACATCCATCAATATGAATAAATAGGTCCTGCTAAACCTTAAAAACTCGGCTAGATTGCAGAAAAAAGAGCGTATTATATTTAATCTTTGAGTAACTAGTCCATCACACTAGCATCGCGCTGCCGTTAAATTCAATGACAGTACCAAAAGGGTATTGGATGCGGATGGCTGAATCTATAGAGATACAACGGCAAAGCCAACAAGATTGTGCCAAGCCTAGTAAGTGCAGAAATTTTATCCTTATAGGATAGAACTACCTGAGTCAAAAGTTCCCTTAACCAACCATCGTGGAGAAAGAGCGTAATTTTCAGACACAACACAAGTTTAATATCAAAGAGCAAATTTTCTTCACGAAGGGTATTTAGCATGCAAAAACTGGTAAGTGGAAGTCAGTATCATTTAGTCTAACAGCAAAATTTGGGTTTAGTCTCTTTACAATTACCGGACTAAAAAGTCTTCTATCCTATGGAAAACAAGGCCTCTACTCCTGTCTGGCAATAGATCCTATGCTCTCGGAAACTTGTGACAATAGAAGAGCAAATATGTCCAAGGAAGAAGCCAGAAACAATGGTCAAGAGAGGGCATTATGAGAAACGGTACATATCTTCCTGTCCCACCTTACCGGGACATACGGGTAATGTTAAGTGGCCGTAAGCTTATGCAAAGAGCCACTTACGAAATTGTACTTACCATGAAACAACGAAGATAAAGTGAGTACAGAATTGCCATCGGGAGAGAATTCGCGTTTAGCACACAATATATACCCGATGACCAAACCGCTTATATAAAGATAAAAAATGAAAATATTCGAACGTATACACAGCCCAGTGCCAGAATTTTAAATTATCTTACAAAAACATATCAAGCTTGAAGAGAGAGAGCTCGTGAGTCTGGTCGTCTGGATACTTAAGCCGATAAGTTAATAAGCAGACGAAAGTATAAACCAGTAGGTAACAAGCAGCCATTATGGGCACTTTGGATCGAACTGGAAGGGCAACAGAAAAAGAAACCAGCAGAAGAACAGAATAAAGGAGTGAGAAAAAACGATACGAAAAGAACACGAACCGCTAGTAAAGCCTCCCCGAGCAATTGGCTAAGATAAGAAGTTCAAAGGGGAAGCACGTAAAGAGGAAAAAGAAAGGCTAGTATAGGAGAGGGATTAAAATAGTTTGAAAACCACATCTACGAAGTTTATATGCATAGAAAACCAAATTTTATGCATTTAGTCAATATAACTAAAGTTTGAATGCAAGCAAACGGCTACTTTTAGCAAATTTTACTTTAAGCAGTCAAAAATGACAAAAAGATTTATTAAAATGTGTTAGGTCACACAATTACTTAAAGTCTGTTTGATGAAATAACTGCTTAAATATGGTCTTATGATGATTTTACAAGAAAATTGGGGTACTATCATTGGGAACCTCAAACTGTAACAATCACATCAATTTTGCAATTTAAATAAATTCACTGCTTTTAATTAGTATTGTATATATTTATCGTTTGAATCGGTTCGAGAGAACCGCGAGTTTTCAGCTCGGCCTTAGTGGTAAGTTGATGTTTCGTTCCTTGGCTATTTTGTCTATTCTTATGTAGGTGCTTTCATTCTGGTAAGTTTTCAGACTTTGTTAGATTTCGCTTCCTGCATAAAATGTGAGAAGAATGTGCTTAAGTATAATCTGTGTAATATGTTATCATGGTATAAAATTAGATACAACTTAGCGCAATGTATGGTACTGTACTCTTGATACTTTTTGATTTCGATTTTAGATGACAGATATTGTGTTGAAGAATGAGACAATCCAATGCACTGCTGGTGCTATTCCGGTCAAAAATGAGAAGGGCCAGACATATATGCAGAAGGTGAAAGTGCACCGTTACATCGCCGGCAAGCGTCCAGATTTTGCCTCTGATTCTGAGGAGTCCGACATTTCCGATTTTGAGGTAGAGGCTGGGGCCGACGTTCGCCAACAAAGACGCCGTCGAAGAGTCGATGTACCAGAGGAAGTTGAAAAACGTGAGAGCATCTCTGTCCTGGAGCAGGAACCTACCACTGAAGAGCTCAGCGATCCTCGATTTCGGCGCCTGATGCTTCTGAAGGTTGTCGCTATTATTTTTTAGTTATTCACTTTTTTAACTTTCCAGTTCCTGAATGTTTGAGACACACCACTTACTGCACATTTCCATATCTTCTAAGTCTGGTAGTTTTTCGCTTCATCGGATAAAAGCGTAGGATTAGCTGAATTGCCTTCCACTCGGTTGCATCTGAATGTAAATCTAAATATATGGGTCAATAGAACTATCATGTTAGCTTTCTTTTGATGGATTGATTTAATTTTCTAGCGAATTTTCACGTAATTTTTCTTACTAACTTGATGTCATTCTAACCGGGAGGTGGCGTGGCCTATCTTTTTTTTTTTTAAATCGGGTACTAGCAATCGCGAGAAGTGGTAACTGGAGATGAGGATGCAGAGGATCGAGTAGTACGTCACAAACGTTTCCGTGGCAGTGGTGATGGCGCCTCCTCGTCTGACGACGGAATGAAGGATGGCGTTAAGGAAGAGGAAGAGGAGGAAGAAGTGGACGAGGAGGAGCTCGCTCGTCGACGAGAAGTGTGTTACTTTCCTTTTTTGGCCATGATTGCTTTGCGACTTGTTGAATCTCGGTGGAAACTGGTTTTCTGCTTCAGATTAGCATTCCTTAATATGCTCACTTTTGTTGCATTTTTCTTTTCTACTTGATTCACTTTTGATATTCACACACAGTGTTTGAACACTGCCTATGATACACTTAAGAAACAAAAATTTGACTGCAAAATGTTGCAAGCTTAAACATTTTCGTGCCCATCTTGGGTACATAACAGTCTCCTTATGCATATTCTTTTCCTGCAGCTTATTCGACAACGAGCACGCAAACGCCGTGCAGCAGAGGAGGCAGACCTGGAGCGAGCGTCTGCTGTAGATGGGCGACGCAATGTTGAGGCGGAGGAAGTGGAAAAGGAAGAGGAGGAGGAGGAGGAGGAAGAAGAGGAAGAGTACACTTCTAGTGGTTCTGAGGATGAGATGGGTGCGTCCAAACTGAAACCAGTCTTTGTACGCCGTCAGGAACGCATCACCCTGCAGGCCAAACAACGTGCTGATCAAATTGCTGCTGAGGCAGCTGCTGAGGCCAAACGACTCGCTGATGAGAGACGCAGGGACACTTTGAAAGTAGGCTTTCTTTCTACTCTTCGATTTCTTTTGTTTGACCTCTCTATGACTAGTTATACTCTCTTCGTAGCTTCTGGAAGCGGAGATTCGCCGAGAGGCTGAAGAGGCACGATTAATGCAAGACGAACTAGAGGCATTAGATTCGGATGATGCCACTGGCGATCAGCAGAAGGAGCAGGAAGAGTACGAGCTTTGGAAAGTTCGTGAACTTAAGCGCATACGCCGTGATCGTGAGGCTCGCGAGGCTATAGAGCGCGAGAAAGCCGAAGTATGTGGTTTCCCCGTTTGCATAAAACCTGCTTTTCAAATCTTTTGGAGCTGGAGCGTTCCCTCATTGTGATTTAATCGCTTCTCAGGTGGAGCGAGTGCGTGCCATGACAGAAGCCGAGCGACAAGCTGAGTTCCGCAAGAACCCCAAGGAGGTGACCAATAAAGCGGTGAAGGGGAAGTACAAGTTCCTACAGAAGTACTACCATCGTGGTGCCTTTTTTGTTCAAACAGAAGAAGAGAAGCTCTATCAGCGCGACTTCTCCAAACCTACGTTGGAAGATCACTTCGATAAGACCAAGCTGCCTCCGGTCCTCCGCGTAGGTTCCCACTTGTCTGTTTTGCACTCCCCTCGTAATAATATATCCACCTATCTCGAGCTATTCCTCCTCCCCCTCCTCTCATCAACTTACGCATTATTTTGGGTCCATGTTAACTAGGTATTGCAAGTTGTTGTTGACGATTCGCGGGATACTAAATTTTCGGAGAACTGGAACAAGATCTATTCTGCCTATTGATAAGAATTATTTGGTTTTGAAATCGTCACATAGAGGAGTGTAACCATCTTCGTGTCATTTTTGAAATTATAGGTGAAAAACTTTGGACGAGCAGGTCGAACGAAGTACACGCACTTGGTGGATCAGGACACGACGGCTTTCGACGCCGCGTGGACCTCCAACGACCCGCTGGCGACTAAGTTCCAGATGTCTCACGGTGGTGGGTTCAAGGAGATCTTTGAGAAACCAACTTCGAGGAAGAACACGAAGTAATTCACTACGTCCCTTTTCTCATCGTGTACATACTTGCTGGGTTGTTTTTGTCTACGCCCGATTTTGTAAATAGTCGCTTTTTTGGTGATTACATCTATGTTTCGCCTCATGCATTTTTTCATGTTTATTGCTTGTTACAGTTGCCTAAATCTTCCAAAAGCATTTTTACCCCTTTTTTCAGTTAAAGAATAACTTAATGAAGGTTCTCACCTTTTTTTTGGTACATTTTATGATTCCTAGTCAAACATCAAAGTCATTTGAGAAAAAAAGAATTTGATAAGTTAAATTTAGAGTAGGTTATTGCACTCGATCACTGATGACACGTTGCAACCGTCGGAGGCGGAGAAGCAATTCCTGACGAAACTGGAGATTGGGACAGTTGATGTTGACGCAGGCCTGCGACGGCGAGGGTGTGGAAGGTATTCCACATGGCCGCCGCCATTTGCTGCAGTTGGGAACTGCTACACAGGCATCACACAAGTCCATGGATCGTCGCAAGTTTGCTTGGACCGTTTTCAGCTGTGGAGGAATGCAAAGATCAGGCGGTTATGAAGTGTTTTCTCCACGTATTGGCCCAATCATTACCGTTTTGCTCACCTCGATACCATGTCGTACAAGTACTTTCGTAGAGATAAGTGGATCCAGAGACAAGCATGATTCACAGCAAAGCGAGTGATTTGCCGCTTCGTTACCACACGCAACGCAGCAACTTCGGACGCTCAGAAACTCGTGCAGTATGGCAGATGCTCCCTGTTGACCAACCCATCGTCTAGGTCTGCGTCGAGAACCTGGAGATTCATGCTGGACTAAGTCCTCCACTTTCTCAATTTCCTTGAAACGAACCACGCACCGTGGAATATCTGACAACCATGAGTCAACATGCCAGCCAAGTAGGTCACCAACTCGACGAAGGGGCGGAAGAAGCTGGTGGTCGATGTAAAAAGCGAGATGGAGAGGTGGCTGCATGTTGTAATGTTGGGCTTCCTCTACGGCTTTGACGCAAGCAATCAGCGGAGAGTTTGGTGCGGTCGGTGAGGCGAGGTAGTAGGCAACGCGTTCACCGACACTGGGCTCTCTAGCCGGGTCAACGGACTTTAGACGTCTGTAGAGGTTATGGAATAGGTAGGTGTACTCACCAAAACAAGTTTCCAATTTATAGGAAGACAGACAGAGGAAGGGAAATAGGAAAGCAAACCTGGTAACCTGAAGGGCGGGTGCACAAGCGCCAGGTCGATAAGCCTCGGAACCACGGTAGGGACGGGTCAGGAGGCAGGCCGACAGAGGCACCTTCCCGGCGCTCAAATCGCGCGCCAGCGCTCGTACACATCTTCGAACTTTGGGCTCCACTTTTGGCAACACATCTGCAGGGATGGGAATGCACTACTGAATTGAAGTTTAGCGCGACTGTGATTCCAGTCGACAGTAAATGGAATGCTTCTGAGTTCCTATAAGTTCAGCACGGAAGCTTGAGTATGGCCTTTACGAGATGATATTTTAAATAACCAATCAATTATTATTGTAAACCGTATCACAAACAGGACTAACATATAGCAGAGTTTAAAGTCGCGCGTATGTAACCGTCCTAACTGTGGAAAACATGTTTTCCGGTGATCAGAGGAGTTAGTAACACACCTGAAGGGATACTGCTCCATTGAAAGGCGTCAAAGATTTGGCGAATCGCTGATTCCAAAATCTAAACAGTAAGGAGAGAATGACGGAGAGTTGCAGAACTCGGAATGGTGACAGGTTTTGGTGTATTTTAATCGTAACTCTAAGAGACTTAGAGCGCTACAGGTGCAACGAATGGTGAACGACTCTTATGAACATAAGCTGAGCACTGGTATAAAATTCGCCACACAAGCGATAAGTGACAAAAATGCGATAAGTAGTAACTCACCGTCCCAACAAAGGGTGCGTGATCGCGGCGCACTGTTTCAATGCCTTTGGCGTCGAACTTAGGTTCGGTTTGACTTGGTGATTCGTAGGCATAACCAACATAGCGTTTCTTAGTTTCCAGTAGGCATGGATAGTACACCTAGAAGGAATCTCAACAATGGGTCCCAGAAGAAATGGGAAGCATCTTCACCTGTTTGACATGGTCACTTTAATCAAGAACTAATTTTAACAAAAAAAACCCAGCTTAGCTGGGAGCTAGGACTTTGAAATTCATCATAAAATTTAGCAAATTTCGCAAACCTTCCATAGTTTCGAATTCAAAAGTAGAGGAGAAAAAGCACCTTTTCCAACTTCAACTTGATCGGTGCGGGATTGGACGCAGTGACCGCGTCAGCAATCTGCTGGCCCAGTTTAAAAGCGGTTTCTTTGTCAACAAAAGGCGGCAATTTAATGAAGAGACTGTCAGTGTCACCGTAGATGACCTTTGATCCCGCCCAGGGCATTTGACAATCGTTTCCATCTTCGACTAATCGAATTGCACGCTCCAGGCACTCTCTCCCCTTATGTACGATGCTGTCACCGACCTGTAAAACGACATTTACTGATAAAAGTTGAAGTAGAATGTTATCAGCTGAAGAGTGCCATAGAGGTAAACGCCCAAACAGCTGTTAGGGGAAAGCGATATGATGCAAACATAGACAGAACGATGGCGCGTATACAAGTCCTAACCTTATAGCATTCTTTTCTGCTTCGGATGACACTTGTAGCAATCATATTTACTCTTAATATAGACCCATGAACTGGGTCCCTAAATAAAGTAAGTACATGGACTTGTTAATATTCCAAATGCTGAAGTTATTGGGGTGGTTTCATAGACTGCTAAATTCATCTTCTACTTTCAGTAGAAACAGTTTGAACTCACCTCCACACATGGCATCCGACCAGAGAAGCTGGCTGCGGTATAACCGTACATCACGTTTGCAATGAGTTTCAAGCCCAGCTGACGTGCGTCCAGTAGTTGCCTCAAGGACTACAGAAAATGTGCCACGAATTATCTGCTATACGTCACTGATAAGTACGTACTAGGATGCAATAATAGTAGTTCGAACTGTTACATCAATGATACACAAATCTGACCCACATCTCTCACAGTCCAGTCTTTATTGTGAAGATAATGGATTCTCCCTCCAAAGTCTCAGCTCTTCCACACACTTATAATACAATCAAGTGCAGATGCCTAGTGGCCTGCATTAATGTATTGATTCCCACAATGACGACAACACGTCTTTTACTAAGGGAATCTAATGACAAGCAAGCCGTGTGGATCAACGAAAGGAAAAGAATGCTGAGAGGAGAGTTGGCCTATTAAATATTGAATGACATGGAATATATGGAGTAGTGAACACTATCTAACCTTAGGCGACGTCTGTAAATGAGCCAATTTGTCACGCGATGACAAACAAATTGCGCAAAAGGGTAACCCAATTGCTGAAATCCTATTCAGTTACCAGCACCAGGTACTCATATCTTGTGGCGACATGAAAAACATTTTTAGCACTGCAGGATTCGTGTCTAAAAAAATATATCAAAAATGCGGCATCAGGTGTGAATATTGGGCCATGTTGCCCCTGCGCTTCTACCCTTCAAGCCTTTTTGACATAACTGCAGGCAGCCGCATCGTTTGCCGCTTATAGAAGAAGTTATAGTGATATCGGAGCCAAAAAGAACGATGAGTAGTATGCCGGAAAAGTCGAGCTTTACCTCTGAGCGTTCGGCGTATATTTTAAGTGAGTCCTTCACCATCAGTCGAGAGGAGAGCAGGACTCGCCAAAGTCGAGGCAGAACGCCACGATAGACTTCTGGCCTCACAAAAACCACCCCATTAGGCGATACCGTTACCTTATTGGCAAGTTTCTAAGAGGATTTGGCAAAAAAAGTTACGTGTTTAATGAATTGAATGGGTGATGGGCATGCAAAGAAAATGACACGTTAATATTTTAGTCAGGCGCACCTTATACCATTGTCCCATAGAAGCTTCGGTATAGAAAGAAAACGATTAAAAAAATACTTCATGACTGGCTAGAATGTTTCCTTCTAAGGCATCCAAAAGCCCACTGCTTCCCTAAAAGTTACGGTACCATATTCTTGGTACTTTGTTGAAAATTTCTAACACCAAATTATGTTTAGGACCGCTGTTTGTAGGAGTCCGGCACAGAAGCCAAAAGCATCTTCTATTTCCTCAGAACCACCATTTAATGTCACGAACTATCACTTCTCTCACATCACTGTTCAGCGGTTCATCCCCAAAACCTTATTCATTCCCACCTATTGGACGCTAAAGTGCAAGGAGCTACGTAGCTTCGGATCTGCCGTTTACACACTCAGCCTTCAAACTCCATTCTGCGCCCAAACAGCTGAGTCATTACACTAACAGTTGGAAAGAAAGAAATTTGAAAACTTACCTTCAGCGTTTCCGCCGAGATGGAATGAGTAAGACAGCCAAATTCGAATGCCTCGTGAGGCCTAGAACAGCCGAATGTTGACGTTATGATGTAACAAGTAACAATATACATTGGAGGAAATCTTGTTTAGCCCAGCTGACTCGTAGTAAGAGAATCTATCGTGAGCTAACGGAGCTGCATCAAATCATGGTAGCTGTAACAATGAAACTACGATGAATTCTGAGCCCCACACAGTAGAATCAAATCAAATTATTCGAAAATAAGAAGTTCAGGATGCAGACAAACAGTCCCATAAGAATTAAAAAAAGGATTTTGATACTTTCGGGCCACATCTAGTGCTTTGAGGAGTGATCCGGACAGCACTTTCTGCTCAAACCAAAAGGAATGTCGTGATTTTGTCCACCAAATTATAGACTCACTGAAGAACGTGTAGACGACCTAGTGCTGTGGAGAAGCAATAGTTGTGTGCGATGGCAACGGAGGGGTAAAGGGACTGAAAGTCCAGCACCAAGACCGGTGCGTCGACATGGAGGCCACTATACGGCTCCAAGGTGAGAGGAATGGCCTGGGGCGCTCTTTGATGGGCCCGTTGAGGAGGACTCGGCGAGGGCAAGAGGAAATTGAGACGACGTGCAATGCGTAATAGCAGCGACTCTACCCGGTACTGAGGTTGGAATTTGAAATGTTACTTAAGAAAGCCATAAGTAGCAGCGATGATTCTAGCAAGCTTCAGTCATCGATAGATGGAGGGAACACATTGAGGACGAAAAACTACAGCAATGGGGTAAAACTATAGCTTCTTCCCTCATTTTAGAAATAAGCAGTTCACCACATCTACTGATAGTCTACAATATAATAAGATCTATATTTGGCACAGATAAATAAGAAGGGTAGTAGATAATAACAACCGAATTCGCCAATTAGAACACTGGATCGTTGCACTGAATGCGAGTAAATGTGAGGGTACTCCATAACCATTTCAACAGTTTCATCGTTCACAAGATTACAAATAAATGGCGGAACCGACCTGGGAGCCACGAGAAAGAACATGGAAGAACTCGATTCCAAAGACACGAGCGAATTCGCTGGTGCGAGCGACGAGGTCGAGGCGTTTGAGAAGAGTCAAATTGGTCTCGGAACGCAATGCTAAGTGCAGTAGAGCCTGCCATCTGCACAGAGAGAAAAAAAGGTAGCTAGACCGTCAAAAAGACCTATTGATGTGGAAATGAGGAGCGGGGGTCAAACTCTCAAGACTTTACCTAGTGGCACTACGCACTTCGTCCATCCAGTCGGACAACTGACCTTGAGTGAACTTCGGAATGCGCTTCTTTAGGACGTGAAGAACCACCGTTTCGAAGGAGTACTCATGAAGACTAACCTAAAAATACGGAATTCGGAGTACTTTTACTACGGATGTTTAACACCCAATGTCCTCCAAAAATAAGCCACCGAATCGTTGTGATGGCCAAATTAGCAAACGATAAGATTGTTGACAAGTGGAGGCCAGAACTTTTGGGTTTAAGGGTAAGGTAACCAGTGACTGACCCTTAAATCAGGCATAGTTATCTGCAGAATGCATCCGAAGTTTTTCGTTAACATCACCAGTAGCGTTTGTGGTTCACACCTTAGAGCACTACTCCAACCCTCTTGCGAGCCCAACCACAGCCAATCCCAGCACCTATCACTTCTCAACACTTTGCCGCTCAAAGTCAAGAAAAAGCACACCTCCAGGATCACATTTATGAATCAACCGAACCCACAATAACAATCGATTTGCCTATCGGACCTTTCTATTCAGCAACTCTTGAGGCACAAAAGCACGAGGAATAGCCTCTACAGCAGATTATTCACCCGGCGAGCGAACAAGCCTACCATAAGTACCTTTAAATAAGGTGCTTTGAGGACGTGAAAATAATAGGCCTTCAAGCCTATTGGCTGTCATCTCAGTTGATGCGAACTCAAACCAGCTGCTACATCAAAACTCACATTTGACATGACTGGAGGTTGGTCTTGATGTGATGACCTTAATGGGCTCAACAATGAGTGTCGTCGTAGGTAACAAACATGCAAAAATGTGAGCCTCACTTCGAAAAGGAGTCGAACCTGGTATATAAAGTAGACTTTTACTACAGTCGGTGGCATGAGGGATCAAAAGAGAAGTAAAAACGAGAGAACCGCACTGGCTGACTGAAAACAGGAGAGCCTTGCAGCATAAACAAGAGCATGCACTCGGCAGATATCGTCAAAAGTTTCAAGTCATTGCCGAAAGCCACA